TAAGTCTAATCAACCGAATTTAAAAGAATTACATATGAAATAGGGGTAGAAAAGACTGAAAAATATAATAAAATTAGAAATAGATAGACATCTCCAAATTTGCGGAAGTTAATATGTTCAGAGTATTCTAAAATGTCGCAATATTGCATATTGAAATCGCATATCCCTACGTATATATGTGTATGTGCAGATTTGACGTGGCGCGTGGCATGACGGATCTTCCACCCGGCACCGCGGCGGCGGCGTTCCCGGGGAAGACGTATACGCGACGCGGACGCGACTTCCTAAAACCCTGACTTAATTAATTTATATATATAAGCGTCGATATGTTCCGAGATACAATGGCTCTATATCTGACTAATCGTAGATTTGTCATTTCAATAAAAAAAATTCTGACTCACCACGCCGATGTGCAACGGGCGGAGTTGTTCAGCCACGTAGCTACGATGATACTGTAACATACAAACATAAGATTCAAATTAAAGAAGCGTTCAAAATAATCAACATTTTTCAAAATATAATTTTTACGCGCAACTAATTTGTTTTTCAATAAAATATTTAGCAACACAATCATCTGTGTTCACCGAAAACGATCTTTATAAGAGTAAAATTTTAGATAATCTTTTTCTCTAATTATTTTTAATTTATCGAGATAAAACAATTCGAATAAATAAAAAAGAACTATTTTAATTTTACGCAGATATAAAGAGATGATACTCACCCCAAGGTTGCTCCGCCGGTGCCCGATGCCTCTCCCAGGCCTCCTCCTCCTCTCAGGGGATACTTAGGCTTCATCGTCTCACCGCACAGGACACTCGCGAGAAACACTCGCGGATAATAAACTACAATCGCGCGCGGACTAATTTCATTAAAAGTCTTTCTCGCGCGATACTGTACGGCACTCCCGTTTAGAAAAGTCCTTTAGTCCGATTACTTGAACGGCACTCCCGAAGCAAACGCGACGAACCGGCTGCGGTTCGTTCATTCAATTAAATCGGCGGACGAGGGTACGTTAGCTTCCCCGTCTTTGAATTTTTATCCAAGCAGAACAAGAGTTTTGCTTGGGTAAAATCCTCGTACTGGGTACTGGAGCCTTCCCACCTCGCCAAGATCGTACCCGTGGGAAGGAAAAGTACTTTTCTCTGTAATATAAAAGCGGGTAACATGAATTTTTCATGCAAATTTGAAGGAGTCGCGACGCCGCGTGCTCCGCGTCGTTCCGCGTTCATCACCGCGTTACCGGCGTTACGTTGTTAATGGGCGACGTAATAATGGGCGACGAAATGTTCCGAGATGTTGGCAACTTGGCGCGATACTACGCAAGTCGAGCGGACGGTTAATAAAGACACGCACTTCGTCAATCAGAGATACGCTGTTGAAATTAAATATCGCACGCACAATACGTTACCAAACTCGTAAATCGAGATTATGAAGCATTCACGAACGGGCGATGTATCGCGGCGTTCCGTTATCACCGATCGAATCACCGGAATCACTTGACACGATCAATATCTCTCAGCCCTTTTTCCCTACGGAGAGAATCGGAGCTAAATCACACGACACGTCCGGCACGTCAGCGTTCTTCGCGAATCCAGACATGGCGGGAGGAGCGACTGTCACTCGCGAATATCACAGCGCGAAACTGCAAAGCAAGTCGTTCATACATACCTCCGCCTCGACGTCTCGAGTGAGCGCGTCGCGCGACACGTTCATTCCGATAAACACCTCATACACTCTAAATTGTTTTACACACACGGCACACGGCGCGCGGTACTCGATCGCGTAGCGCGTATTCCCGCGGCCCGCGAAACGAGGAAGCAGGAATGCCAATCACCGAAACGAGCGCGTTCCGAAAACAGCACGAAGCACGGTGACGTCGGTGACGAGCGCGCGCGAAGCACAAACACTTCCTACCGGTGCGAGATTCCTCGGAAGAATGATAACTGAGTCACTCACGCAGGTAACACTACTCCGAGCGTTGACGGAAACAAGTGACAAGTCCGCTCATCGCCAGAAACAACGTTGAAAACGCGCCGATCTTCGAGGTACGGAGCTTTCGAGTTCAACGGTCACGCCGCTAGTGCGGACTGCGCAGGTGCCTACACTGCCTACTACATCACCGTCACCGTATCGATCCGCCGCGCCGGCGGCGCGGAGCGGCGCATGACGTCACGGCCTACGCGCGCGACCGCGGCCGGTTCAAAAATACCGAAAACTTTCAACGAACAATAAAAGACAACGTATGCCGAATCTTTCGTTAACTTTCACAGGTTTAACTGGCTGTATTCTACGTTCTGCGTTCTGTCTCGGTGGTGTCTGGTCGACGTAGCTGTCTCTCGAAACGCGAGTGTTATATACATATATCGCGAACACGTAGTGATCATTAGCCTGGCGATTACGTAACTCCCTCATACTACGTTTACGCGAGCGTTACTTCTGTAGTAACTTACGATATATCATTCGTTTACGCGGAGTAACGTATCGTAAGTTACTACAAAATCCCGTTTACGCGACGGACGTATCGTAAGTTACTACAGAAGTAACGCTCGCATAAACGTAGCAACAGTCAGTACGTGAGGGATATCGAGGCGACGGTGGCTGTTTACGCGGAACAGATATTTTTGCGCGATTTATCTATATTTAAAAAATATAATATAAAATAAGGTAAAAAAAAATATAATATAAAATAAAGTAAAAATATCATCAACAGGTGCAATCAGATGCAACTCCCGGGCCGGCCGAGCGCGCGGCCGCCGCGGCCAGAATAATATCCCCTCCAGCTGGCTAGTTCAGACATTAGCACGGACGCAAACCATGTGCGGTTACCGAGCGATACGACGTAGTTGAGTTGCACTTTCTCAGGCGGCGCGTCGGAAAATGCAACACAGCAACACACGAAAAAGACCGGGATGGCCTCTCTCAGGTTTCTCTCTGGTCGCGGTAAGCCGTAATCGCGCGCAGCAATATCGACCGACATCGATACGAGTAATACGACTTCGATGTATCGATGCAGTCGCAGCGGATTTTAGGTTGGATAACCCTTTTCAATTAGTTCGCGATGAGTTTTTGACGTTATTTGAAAGGAAATTGTCTTCGCGTGTAAAATGGCAGTGTCCTTTCTTGGAAGAGGAGTCGCTCTGACGCGACGGAATTTCCTAAAAATTCCGAAGCGACACGGATATATAGTCCTGTAAGTTCGTCCTCGTTGTCTCGTAGAGGTTAAGTTCCACCGAAACCCCGCGATTACTTCTACTGCGTTTTAATATTTGTTATGTTTTTTCTTGCGACATGTGTGCATACATTTCATACTCTCTCTGTATTCCTTTTATCAATTTTATTGATTAATTATTTCAACTGTACTTTTGTCGTTGGAAATCAAATTTTGTTTTTACTTTCATACATGTGTTTTTGAATTTGCGTTCTACGTCATTTACTTAATACCTCTTACATTATTTAATTTATTTATATATTTGTGGATTATTTATAACAATTATTTAATATTTCTTATATTATCTATTTGTTTATATATTTATTGTATATTTGCGTATTATTTATATGTTACGTAATTTAGATATATATTTTATAATGTATGACAAGTTTGTTTATACGTCTCTAATATATTTAAAAAATGTATATTAAACTATGCCTTAAATACATTAATTTGTGTGATTAAATTATTTAAAGTATATAATTATTTTATTCCTTTTTTTACATTTTTTGTTCATATTTTTGTTAGGTACCTGAATTGAATTCGTTTTCTATATTTGTAGACGTTATTCATCTTGTATAATTTTATTTTTTTTCTCTTGATGTCAAGACTTCCAGAAATAGGCGAAGAATCGTCGGAAAAAAATCCTTTATTGAAGGATGACCATCTACCAGAATTTAACACAATCACAATTGAAAAGTGTACAGCAGCTATTGGAAAACAAACCGTGGAATTTGAAGAGAAGATGAAAAGTTTGGAGAAAGTTGTAGATAGTAAGTTTTAAATATTATTATAAGTATTAGTATTAAAAGTTATTTTATACTGAGAATTTTAATTAAATATAATTTGAAAAAGTATTAATTAAATTTATTTCTATTGTGCTGATAGTATAATTTAATAATGAATGTTATAAATCTATTGTAGTATATGCACTGTAAATATAATAGGAATAGACAGTGAATAAATAATATTAGGAGATTTTTAAGGGCCATTGCACATAACAAAGTTTTAGTCATAATCATAAAATTGTAAGAAAATAAACCAATCACACTCGATTATTCTTCGAGCTCATTGAGAATGCGATTGGTCTATTTTCTTATGGCCTTTTAATAACTAAAACTTTGTTACGTGCAATGGCCTTAATTGCCTATAACAACAGAAATAATCTCGAATCAAAAGAAATATGATCCAGCGTCTAATCGCGATTTTAATTGTCAATTTTTATAATTATTTACAGCGACAAACGATTTAGATGTATTCAGTGATTGGTTACATCCAATCGAGGAAGCATATCTCCCTCTAGAGACCACTTGGGGCATAGCAAAGACTTTGTACTTTGGCAATCAGAGTTTGATGCCGACAAAATGTTACGTGGGTATTCACGAACGTGCCATGAGGGCCGTGGCTAGCAAATTTGGCAGTGCGCCACTCTTTAAAGCATGCAAGGAAGCGCTGGACAATAAGAATATCAGACTGACACATTCGCAGAGGAGAGTACTTACAAAGTATGTGCTGGAGGGGACTTTGAATGGCCTGGAGCTGCAGGATAAAGAATTCGAGAAGTATACAGACGACTTGAACTATATCTTGTCGAAAATCAAAGAGTACAAGCCAAAATACGAGGTCTATCATATAATTTGGAACACATTTATTTCGAGAAAAGCGCAACAAACTGAAATTTAAACTGATCCTTTTTTAGAGTGCTACAGCCGTGTATAATATGACAATACATAACAAACACGTTGTGGAGGATTTTCCAGAGGACTACCTCAAGTCTATCGCGATGAATCCTAGGGAACCTTACACAGGTCCTTGGATGATCACTTTGAAGCCATATATCCTGCAACCGTTTATGGGTGCGCATCTTTTGTATATTCATTAATAAAACAAATTAAATTCTAGAGATTTAATATTTTTCATGGATTTATATATTTCCTTAATTAGAGTACTGCCCTGATCGTGAATTAAGGGCGTCGATTTGGGATGCTGATGTCACCCGGTGTTCTAATTATCAGGAAAGGTCTGTTCAAGCTAGCGTGACGTTAGAGGAACTCCGATCAAGAAGAATCGAGCAGGCGCAACGCTTGGGATTCAAAAATTACGCAGAGATGAGCATGGAGACAAAGATGGCCGGCAATCTGGAGAATCTGCACAACACAATAGAAACTCTTCTGAATACTGGTAATAATTTAACTTATTATAAATGAGAAATATAACAGAAAAATAATTAAACATTAATTAGAGCACTTATGATAATTAATTTGTTAAAATTATGAAAGAATGGTAATGTTTTATTATTAATTAGATCTGTAGGAAAAATTGATATACTTTTATTAATATATTACTACAATTATGAATGTGTAATATTATTAATAATAGATTTTAGATTATTGATAGCTTTAATTGATTGATTAATGACCATTTAATATTTTTTTAAGCGTTTCCTGCTCAGGAACAAGAAGTCGCAAATTTAACCGAGTTTGCAAGAGAGAGAGATTTCAATGATACTCTAAGGGTATGGGATATTGCATATTGGGGTAGAAAACAACGTCGCAGTATGTACAAGTAAGTAAATTAGCATGTTAAATATCTGTGTGTAAATATATATAGATATACATATATATATCTTAAATATACTTAAATTCTACAACGCAGAAAATTTAATTTCTTTCAAATAATTATACTTTAAAATGCTGTCGACCACAAGATAATTTTTTAATACGTAGATAAAGATTTTGTGGTCGACAGCATTTTAAAGTATAATTATTTGAAAGAAATTAAATTTTCTGCGTTGTAGAATTTAAGTATATTTAAGATATTTGATACTTATATTTTTTAAAAATCTGTGATATTAAATAAAATATCATAAAGTAATGTATTTTAAAATTTTTTACCCAATTCTCCGTCTTTATTCAGCTGCGACGAAAACAAATGGAGAGAGTATTTCCCGCTACCGACCGTTCTATCGGGCCTCTTCGAGCACATCGAGACGCTCTTCAACGTGAAAATCGTTGAAAGCAAGAAAGCGGATATCTGGCATAAGGACGTACGGTTCTTTGACATATTCGACTTGAACGGATCTAGCGCGGCGCCCATTGCGAATTTTTACCTAGATCCCTACGCCAGAGGAAGGGAGAAGTTCCGCAAGGAAGAGGACTCCGGATGGGTATCCATAATTAAGAGCAAGAGCAAAATCGGCAATAGCACTCCGTTAATCGCCCTGATCTTCAACTTTCCGCCACCGATAGGCGACAAACCTTCCCTGCTCTCCTTCAGGGACGTGCAGGTTCTCTTTCAAAAGGTAATAGGCTATTGTTTATAAAATTATAATGGATTTGTATGTATATGTTCATAAAATAATTAATCTTTTATAATTGTTTGCACATTACAGTTTGGACACGCTTTGCAACATTTGCTAACTACGGTCGAGTATTCTGACATTGCCGGATTGTCGTTTGTGGAATGGGACGCGGTATTCATTTGCGATTTCTTCATGGAGAACTGGTATGAAATAAAGTTATTTCTTTATTTATTTTCTTCGTTTAATTATTTTCTTTCTATTTTAATACTCTTATACCGTTAATATTGTAATTAATTAATGAGTTAATATATTCGGTGTAGGTTGTACGAAACATTCATGTTGCAAAAAATTTCCGAACATTACGAAACAAAGCAGCCATTACCTGCGGAAGCTATCGAGAGCATTAAAAGAATGAGGTCGCACTTGGCCGGTTATAAACTTTGCAAAGAACTTTACTTGTCACATTTAGATCTGGAGCTGCATTCCAGGTGAGCATCGATCTACAAACCTCCGTTAAATTCTAATACAAATTCTAAATTCTGAATTTCTTCCCAAATTATTTAAGAGAAACGTAATTACATTCATTAAATATTTACATCTTATTACATTATTACTTACAAAGTTAACAAAATATTTGCTATTCTTTCAATAAAATTATTCAACGACTCGATATTTTGAAATGACATCGGTCTTCGCGTCGCTTAATCTTATTTAATTATTGAAAAATTTGCAGTGAAATGTTTTGGGTGCCTATGATGAAACGCTTGTGGCCAAAATATTTCGTATTGCCTCTCGAAAAAAGGGACGTTCATGTTTGCAACTTTGAAGCTATATGGAGCGGTAATTGGGCGGCCGCGTATTTCAGGTATTGCAAGATACATACATTTATTTTATATAGATTGAAGAATTGTCGCAAATTGATTTTAATTTAAGATAGATATACAATTGTTATCTCAAATTGCAAAATGTTCCTATTAGTGAAATAATAAAAAGTCGTTTGTTATTTACAATTGTTACTAGTAGCTCACATTGCACAAGCACTGATTGAACTGTTAAATTGCAGCAAAGTTTGGTCCGAGATGATTGCTGCCGACTTATACACAGCTTTCCAAGAGGTCAAGTCCGACGAGTTGCAGCAGAAGGAGTTGGGTGCGAGATTCCGTAACACATTTTTGTCCTTGGGCGGCAGTTATCCTGCCGCTGAAGTATTTAGGAAATTCAGGGGAAGGGATCCGAGCCCGCAGGCGTTACTGGACAATCTCGGGTTAACGCGAGCGACGAAGGAAATCAAGTGATGCGATTACATGATTAGATAGAATACTACTCTTCAAGAGTGCGCAAAAATAACGATGAATCCTGTATAGTAATAGATAATTGTTACCTGGATCTATACATAACATAGATCCAGGAATTAATTGAATTGTGAAGTGGTCAAATTAAGCAATAAATTATTACTTGTGTAAAATATTACTTGTAAATTGCTCAAAAACGTGAGTTTTTGTTTAAATTAAAATTAAAGTGATAAAGGAGGTTAAATAATTTGAATAAAAAGAAATATTTAGTGTATTATAAACAAATTTCTTTTTCTTTGGTACCGTGCTGTTTATCAAATGTTTACAGTATGCTTTCCCCGCATACTCTCTTTCCGTCTTAAATATATGTATGCTCGGATGGATTGTTATAATTAATACATTTTTAAGAAAGCATATTATAAATTTATAAATTTGGTTAAATTTTTTATTATAGTTTTGATATATTATTTGATTATTATTATTTCTACACATTTATAATTTATAATAGCGATTTTTTTTACTGACCGATAAAGCAATTCTATTTTATCCTATATCGATAATTCTCACATCTCTGTTTTTATTAGTTCACTCGACTAATCAATAGATGATGGTTGCATCGCGAAATCTCTAATTAATATTCAGCCTCAACCAATATGCTGCGTTCCTACGGTTGTCTTTTTGTATGTTCCTTTTTTGGTTCAATAAAAAAAATAATATTTAGAATAATGTATTTAATGTATCGTGATCTAGACAGATGGCTAATAAATAAACTAACGAGCGATAATAAATTTGCTTATTAAGGAAAATAAGCGTTAAATTGAAATAAATGATACGTGTCGGGCAGAATTATCGTAAGGAAATTAAAGTAACGAGCAAACACGCGAGATATATGACACTCGATAAACAAGACATATATATCAATTTCCTGGAAAGCTATCTGTTTCTTTTTGAACGGAAGGTTGCAGCCGCCTTGAATAATGCAGACCTGCTTTACATCAATAATTCCTGGAAAACCGTGTTACGGTCTGTTAATAATTAGTCATTATCAAACTATCGTAATTGCTATTTTACGGACTGTTCCCGCGGAAAGACTCAGGGTTAATCAAATTCTGATTAACTTAATCGGCGATTATCTCCGAGAATTGTTTACTATACAAGATTTTCAATTGTACAATTCATTTCTTTTTATTCTTTTCTGTCGCGTAGAACAAACAAAAGATCGATAGTACATATCAACGAGATACCGCAGGTGTACGTTACATTGTAAATCATAATCGCTGATTAAATTAATCGCTCACTAATCAGCCTTTAAACAGTCCGCATCCCGAGGTGACCGGTGGCTGAAGCGACGTCCGATGGATATCCCGATAAAATCTGGTTTTCGTTCTCGTTCTCGGGATTAACTACTTAATTAACAGCCGCAGACAAGTCGGGTTTTTCGGTCGGACGCGCACGGTTTTTATCACGTTCGGTTGTCGTTGTCGTCGTTGTCGTTGTCGTTCGACGCGCGACCTTATTCACACCCGTTATATTACGGCGCGGTAGGTAGGTAGGATTATGAGTCATCTTCTCCGCGTGAATACTAAATGCCGCGCTGCATCATTATCAGGCGTCGCACGTGCAAAATTTATTTATGAGCTCGTTAATCATGCTTATTTATAGCAAGCGCATTTATTTACTATGTCAATTCTTTATGGAACGATCAAGTGCGCTCGTCGCGATTACTCGAAATCTACATTTATTGTAACAAAAAATAAAAAAGTTAGTGAAAACGGTTTTTAAAAACATCAAAGAAACAAAATAGAAAACTAAAAAAATTGATGCAAATAACGTAAGAAAAAAAATTGAATTAATAAGGTGCCAATTCATGAGACGCTGAAAATGAGCGTCAACAAGGTGAACATAGTGGTTTCGCTTTGACGCTAGCGTCAAAGAAATAAAGTTGAATTTGTTTAATATTCAGTGTCGTCGCTGAATCGTCGTTAATCGTCCCAGTACAACCAAACATAGACTTCGAAATACGTAAAATATTAATTATTTTTAGCAATATCGTCAAGTAATAATATTTTATGGATACATATATAAATAAAAGATATTATTTCTGAAGATTTTTACTTGCTGAAAATGAGCGTCGAGCGTTGACGTGAAAAGGTACCTTAAGAATCAAAATCAAATGAATAAAAACAATCCGCTTTTAAGGCATTTCTATAAAGCCAATTAAAAGATTAGTGCTAAGAAAAAAACTGAAAAAAACCAGTTAGGATCACGGCTTTAGGATCACCTTAAAAGCGAAGAGTGGAATTATATTCGAAATTTATATTCGAACCCTCTAATCGACTTTGCTCCGATTTTTTAATTACGTCCCTTCATCATTTATATTATCTTTCAATTTCAATTTCGACATCTCGCAACTCGCTGTATCCTCAGCGGAGTTATTATTTAAGCCAGCATTGGCCAGCATCCACGGAAGCTGGAGAGAGAGCATTATATACAATTATCAAGAGACACGGTAGTGTCTCGCGCCAAGTACATACATTATACGAAGAGGCCGGGAAGCGAAATACGAGATCGCGCCTCATCTCCATTCGGATTCGAAACTGACGCAACCCGCGAGAAGTTGTGCGCGACCCCGTAGCTGCTGACGCGTCGTGTTGTCGCGGCCCGCTTTTCGCTGCGCCGTGCAACACGGACGGGGCGAAGTGACCGCGAAGCTTCCCGGAATGCGAGACACACACATACACACACACGCGCGAGCGCGAGGCGTGTAAGCGGAGCGCACGTTGCAAATGTGCACCAGACTGTCTAATCGCGCCGAGAGAGCGCGAAAGAGATTCCGACGAACAGAGAGGCCAGAATCCATGCCCTTTCAAGCATATGATGACGCGCGTCCTCCCCTCCCCTCTCTCACTCTCTCTGTTTCTCTCACTCTCTGTCTGTCTGTCTTTCCGCCTCTGACATTTCCTCACTCATTATATATCTTCTTATACCGGGTGTCCCCCGCCCCGCCGATGTTGCAAGGTTGATTCGTGCGTACGTAAAATGCGTAGGTGGGCGTAGAAACAAATACGTGCATTGAAAGCCGCAAATGAAGTAGATGTAACAATTTTGGCGTAGATACTTGAAACATGTGTGATATTAGTGCGTCGTAATTTGTCAGAACTTCTGACAGTTTTAGCATCTGCGTATGAGAGATTGCCGCGCGAGATTATATATAAATAACGGCTCATGCGCGATATTGAATCAATTCAAAAAAATGCGATTTTCTATTTTTTAAACGCCGATTATGATGCAAGAGTATCTAGACGCGACGTGTACGTTTCGAACGCGTCGAAATTGATGTAACTTCAAGGCACTTGTAACACTCATTGTCAGTTATGTCATATAAATTTGTATTTTACTTTCTTTGATTAATAAGAAAAATTGCAGTTTATAACAGTTGTTCGCGCATAAGATATAGAGATTCTCTAAATATTGAAGTCATTTTCGAAGATAAAGTTTTTGAAACAAAAATATTTTATTCTGTATATTTTGATTTATTTTTGCATGACGAATTATTAATATTGCTCAAGTTTTTTGCAATAATTTCAGGCGTTTTCTCTCTCTCTCTCTCTCTCTCTCTCTCTCTCTCTCTCTCTCTCTTTCTCTCTCTCCTTGTTTATATATATATATTTTTTGCAAGTTTTAATACTATATATTTTTTATAATAAAACAGTATTTTTCGATTAATAACAAATCAATTTACTCCTGAATTACATATAAATATAGAAATATTTATGGAATAATTTAAAAAATGTATAGTATAGAAATTTGCAAAATTTTAGACTTGTAATAAATAGCATTTTCCAACATTCTGTTAATAAAAATATTAGAAAATGTCGATTTGAAATTCATACGATAACCGACTCCAATTTTATTCTACTACTGTAGAATTATAGATATTAATAATAATAGACATCTAAATTACATGTAACATAATTTCATTGTTTGCATTATTTAAACTTTTAATTCTAGAAAGTCGTCCTTATACAAATTCAGTTTCGGAGAAATTGGAGCACGCGACATAAAAGATTCAAAGAATACATTTCGCATAACCGATTTCGCGCTCCGATATCCACATATGCTCCAAAAATCACGTCGAATCAATCGTCTCGCGAAATCGTGCAGTTTACCCCGTTTTCCATTCCGAGTGATTCCGAGCGATTTCGTTCGTTTGTCTATTTATAAGACAAACTTTCGTTCTCGCGGGCCCGCTTGTCGCCGCTTGTGTATAAACACGCGCCGCCGCGTTGCGTCGCGTCGCGCCGGCCGGCCGGCGCGGCCGATGTCGGCCGAGCGGTGCCGAGGTCGCCCGAAGCGGCGTGAGGCAACAGGCGGCTCGTTTCAAACGGCAGGTGGGGAGAGTCCGGAGTCCGGAGTTCCGGAGAGTCAGTCGAATCGCGCGCGTCAGTGAGTCGTCGGAGTTTGTGGCGCGAGCATCGTCCGATCCGGTGTTCCGTCGCTGTCTTCACATCGCGCCGGCGGTGTTCTCCTCGTACGTGTGCCGTGCGCTTTTCGCGCGCGCGCGAGCGAGCGAGCGAGCGATCTCGTCGTCGCCCTTTCGGTGAAACGAAGGCTAATATACGCGGCGCGGCTCGGACAAAGCCGTTGTAAGCCGCCTCGCGCAAATATTAGCCGTGCGCCGAGAAGCCGTGCCTCTCGAGACGGCGACGATAGTGGGTAGAAGACTGAAGTTGGCGATCGACAGAGGGAGAAAGGAAGGAAGCTCTCTCGCTGACGTTTCAAGTGTTTGACGTTCCCAGGTAAACGCGCTCCGCAAAACGCCCCGTGTTTGACGGCAAACACAGGCGCGCTGACATACGCTCCTCTTCGGTCGGCTTGAGTTCCGAGAGAGAACGACACGGGAGAAAGAGGAAGAGAGAGAGAGAGCGAGAGCGTATTGTTTACCGTCGGCGATATCGCACGGGCTTCCGCGAATTCTGAATCTCGCCCGTCGGCGCGGGATTCAAATCGCGTGGGACGCGAGAGGGAGAGAGAGAGAGTGTGTGTGTGTCCGTAGCCAACTTCGCGGCGCGGCGCGAGTTCGAAATTCGGATCTTCCGCGCGAGCGAGCGTGATCGGCGCGCGCCGCCAACTTCACGCAGTTGCGCGACGGATTTCGCCGAGTTCGGCGGAGCG